CCAGACCCAGGTATTTGAGAACCAGTATGTCAACTCCATGCTTCGTGTTTCATTCAGCAGCAAACGCGGAGAGCCTGTGTTGAGATGTGGAAGCTCATGATGGAAGCAGCCTAGATCCCTGAGTCACCTGACAGTGTAGACACCACCACCTCCTGCCAGCACCCATCAGATTTTATGTGCATAAGAAATAACATTTTGTTATGTTAAGCCATTCAGAAATCAGACTTCTCCTACCATATCTCATAAAAATCTTTATCTGAATAATACATACCTACTCTTTCTGTTATTTTTGTTTAAATATCTTAACCAAAAAGGAAATAGGACATATATTCTTGTTTCCAAAACATTCTAACAATAGGACGAAATCCCAATTCCTCTTCCTTACCATGTTCCTCCAAAATTCATCCTTGCCCAAAGGTAACTGCATTAAAAATTCTTCTGTGTAGTATTTTAGCATTTATTCCAGGCCTAGTCTTACATACCTGTGCTAGAAATATACACTGTGAGTTTTTAAAATACATGCATAACACTATTGTTCTGACTTTTGCCCTTGTCACTGAATAAAATGAATGCAGGATCTTTCCGTGAGAACATATATAGATTGTGTCGCTCTTTTAACTATGCCCTAGAATTCTAAAGTGTGTATGTGTTGTAATTAATTTAACCATTCTCTTCCTGACAGACACACAAGTTGTTTCTCATTTGTTGCTATGATTAATAGAACTGACATCAACATCATCGAACATCAATTCTCGGGCAAATGTGCATGTTTTATCATAGGAAAGATGTACAAAAGTGCAATTAGATTAAAGTGGAAGGAGTGTGATGATAGTAAATTTTTATGAATATTGGTGATATTCTGTTCCAAGAATGCTATACTAAATTATCTTCTCACATATTTATGTATGTGAATAAATTAAGCTCTCACTGGTATTTTATCAAACTTTTAAATTTTGGTCAAACTTTTGATTGAAAATATAACATCTCACTGTCATTTTAATTTGTATTTCCCTATTTTCTAAATAGATTGAGCAGAAAATTAATTTAGTCCTTCACCCATATAAAGCAGAGTTTCTTCAGTGATATCTTAAGTACCACGATTGCCCTAGGTGCACGCTTTAAGAATTCTGATATGTCAAGTAAATGTTCCCTTTACTTTGAGAAGCAAGGATTTGTCAGAATGATCAGGTGCCAGGAAATGAGCCTGGACAGGAAAACATCACTAAGTGAGGGACAACAGGAGGTTGTTGGGAGGGGTGATGGGGGGATGGGGGGAGTAATTTCCAGAATCCATGAGAGAGATCAAATATTGAAACAAGTCCAGAGAGCCTAGGGCAGCTGGAAGTCGGGGACCTGTATACAGACTTCAGCAAAAGATGGAAAAGGTACAAGGAGGAGAGAAGGTGGAGAATCTGGTGGAGGGTACTGGACAGCTTACATGGAAAGGCTAGGGAATCTCTGGATCATCATTACCACCCTGAAGTTGTAGAGTGGTCTGAGTGGGAAGGTCTGCTGGATCAAAGTACCAGAGGCACACCTGAGAATGCCCCTACCCAATGTCAGGCAGAGTATAGCTAGCTGACCTGTGTCATCCACCAAGTGACGTTATTGACGGATTCTGGGAGGGTACATCTCTTCACTACTCTGGTGGTTCCGTGCACCCTTGCCAGTGTACCAGGGCCGAGAGATGTATTGATGCCTGAGGGAGACGACTATTTCTCCCCATGTATGTGGCCCTCCTACTGCTGAGGGTGAAGCTATGCAAGTGGATGGAATTGGTTGGTGATCCAGGTCAGGTTTTAACTGGGCAAGTATTACTAATGAGTAGAAGGGGGTGTGCAGCTGCAAGGAGGGGGAAACTGGAGGAGGAATTCCCTAAGGCTAATTACCTCAGTGACTCTGGGAATAAAGGGCTGAGTATAGACATGCCTTGAAAAACAACTCTGGTGTTATCCCCAGCTTGGACTGCCTCCATGGTTCCTGATTTCTTTGCACACCAGAGGGCAGAAGTACTTTGGCTCTGTTTGGTGGTCTGTGTTGCTACCAGATACTGACTGGAGTAGGGGCTGGTCCACAATGCAAACATTTACAGGGTAGATGGAGAACAATGTAGTCTGTGTAGTTCCTTGTTAAATGGACTGTGGATGACAGATATATGTGGAATCCAAAGCTATATCTCTCTTATGGTAATAACTCTTATGGTTTAACTTGATTGAATTAAAATTAAAAAAAGAAAATTCTGTGCCAGCCATTCCTGAAATCATCACAGTGATCTGTAGTAAATATAGTAAAATCAAACTCTGAAGTGAGGACAGTGGACCAGCCTGTCAGTTTCAGGCTGGCCGATGGAGGAAACCCAGGCCCTAACAAAATTAAAGGTGAGGACTCTGAATGAGGTCAGAGGGACCAGCCATTCCAGAACAGAAGGTGCCACCATACAGAGGCCCATCCCTGTTGTCAGCCTTGGGAAGCTCCAGAAAGCGTGGCTGGAAATGGCTTCCCTTGAATTCAGTCTCTGGTGTCTAAGGGATGTGAACACTTTGATCTGAGGTGGGCAGCATCAGGTCAGCAGAGGGAAGAGTTCCTGTCTTGCTTGGAGTTTAGGTAAGGTCCCTGATTTAGTTTGAGGGGACCCCGCACTCCAGAATAGTGGACCCCAGGGACTCACCCCTGCTTTCAGTCCTGACAAGTTCTGTGCAGGGATTTCCTAAAGTAGTGCCTTCTGCATTTCCCCTCTGGAGACTCAGAAAGTTGGGGGCATTGGACCTGAGTGTCAGCTCAATGGAGAGTGGGTCCCAGGCACTAACAGAAGTAAACATGAGAATTCTGTTTGATTTCTGAAGGAACCCCAGAACATGTGGGCAGCAGAGTGGCCTGCTCCTGGTTTCAGCTCTGGGAAACCCCGGTATGGCTATGAGGCTCAAGAAGTCCCCTCACCTCACCCTTTGAAACCTGGAGAGCGATGTATGGAGGGCCTTGGTTTCAGTCTAGTTAACCAGAGGGAGGATACACAGGATCAGGCAGGAATTAAAAAAAAAAAAAAACCCTATGTGAATTCCAAGCGAATCCCCACCCGTAGAACAAGGTTGAACCCATAGAACCCCGCCCCCTCACCCCATGTCAGTCCTGGGAGACCCCAGGCAAAGCTGGCTGGAAGTGGTGCACTCTGATATCTGCCTTGGGGTCTCAGGGAAGTGAAGGCATAGGTCTGAGGGGAGCGGTGTCTTGTACGCTAAGGGAGGCACTCTGGGCTCTGCCTGGAATTACAGGAAAGATCCTGAGTTAGATGTGAGGGTACCGCCCGTCGCAGACTAGAGAGGCTCCCAGAGAGCCCCGCTCCTGCTATCAGCCCTTAAAGAAACCAAGCAGGAATGTAGCAACCTCTGAGAACCTTCTAAATTCCCTCTGAGGGGCCTAAGGCAGGTGAGGGCGGTGAGACCAGGGTGTCAGCTTCAAACTAGCAGAGGGACAAGTCCCAGGCCCTAAAGGAGTAAAGGCAAGGACCCTGGGCAAAGTCTGAGGGAACCACCCGCTCCAGCACATAGGTGGCCTCGCAGAGCCCAAGCCCCTTTTGCCGGCCGCGGCGAGGGGCCTAGGTAGGGGTAAGGATGTGACGCGGGCCAACTTCTGCCTGTGGTGTCTGAGGAGGCAGCATCAGGTCAGTCCAGGGAAAAGCTCCAGGCTCTGTGTGGAATTACGGTAAAGACCCAGAGTTGGGATTGAGGGGACTGGCCAGTCCAGATTAAAGGTGTCCCCAGAGAGTTCCACCCTGCTCTCAGCCCTGAGAGAACCTGGATGGCAATCATCTGACAGAACGACCTGTTAAGTATTTTCGAAATTTCCCCTGAGGGGATGAGGGCAGAGCAGGGTGTCAGCTTCAGACCAACAGCGAGACGGGTCCCAGGCCCTAATGGGGGTAGAGGCGACATCTGTCTCTTGGTGTTCCGGGGGGAATGAACACTCGAGAATGGGAGGAGGATGGCACGGCGTTAGGGGGAGGTGCTCCCAGGCCCCGCGGCCTGTTACAGCGAGGGCGCCGAGTGAGGTCTTGGGGAACTCCCACCCCCGACAAAGGGGGCCTTGCAAAGCCCCACCACCGCCGTCAGCCCTAAGCAGCCTCCCATAAGGGGCGAGGCCGAGGCATCCCCTCGTGTGCTCCTCGGGCACTCTCACCAAGACGAAGTCTGGTCTGAGACGGCAGCCTCATGGTCATTAAAGGGAGGGAATCCAAGCTTTTCCAACCGTCAGTGTGAGGATCCCGAGTTAGGGCCGGGGGGACCACCTGCCTCAGAACAGTGGGGGTCACAGAGAATCCTATCCATGTCATTAGCCCCGAGGGTACCTGGGGCAGATAGGTTAGACTGAGGCCTCCCTAACCTCCTCCTCAGAACTTTCAGGATTTGAGGGCCTTGCTCTGAGAGTATAGGTCTTATGTCAGCAGGGGGAGGAGTCCTAGGCCCTACCAGAAGCGAAAGTGAGGGCACTGAGTGAGGACTGAGACGGCTAATCATCCAAGGATAGAGAGGGTCCCACAGAGCTCTTCCCTGTGCATTCCCAGGCAAGTGTGGTATAATGAAGTTCTGCTCATTTCCATCTCTGGGGTCTCAGAGCGATAAGGACTTTGAAATGAGGGGTCAGCATCAGACCAGTAGAGCACAGGAACCCCAGGGCTTGCCAAAAGTGAAGTGATGACACTCTGTTCGTTAACTCGGAACAGAGCCACTGCTCTAAGCCCCAGTGAGCCCCAGGCAGATTTGGTAGGTAGGAGCTAAGGTACACCCTAGTTATTTCCACAGGGTCCTCAGGGAAGAGGCAAATTAGAGAATAGGAACTTTGTGGGCTCCTAGAACAGTGCCCTCAAGGAAACCTACAGAGGCGGCCTTCAGTAGAGGCCAAGGCTGTATCTATCTCCCTGTTGAAGTGGCCCAGCAATCTCATCCTCTTTCCTTTAGGTCACTGAGTCACCTGCCACTTGCCTGCTGCTTTTGTTGAAAGTCACCATGCCTCGGGGTCAGAAGAGTAAGCTCTGTGCCCAAGAAAAACGCTGCCAGGCCCTAGACGAGCCCGAGGATCTGGTAGGTGCTCAGGCCACTGTGAGAGTGGGAGAAGAGTTCCCGTCTTCTTCCTCATTGCAAAGCTATTTCCCAAAACTCACCTATTGCTTGGTCATGTTGCAATCCACAGGGTCAGAGAGCCAGAGCTGTTTCATACACTGAGCCCATCTACAGAGGCCATATGGATGAGAAGGTGGTTATACCGGTGTACTACCTGTTGTACAAGCATCTAATGAAAGAGCCTATTACCAAGGCAGATATGCTGAGAAATATAATCCAGATTTATAGGAATCACTTCCTTGAGATCCTCAAGAGAGCTTCTGAGCACCTGGAGATGATCTTTGGCCTTGACCTGAAGGAAGTGGATCCCTACTGGCACATCTATGTCCTTGTCAACAAGCCAGAACCAAGCTATGATGCAAACCTGAGTGATGATAAAGAGGTTCCCAAGACAGGCCTGTTGATGGCTGTTCTGGGTGTGATCTTGACTAAGGGCAATTGTGCCACTGAGGAGCAAGTCTGGCAAATATTGAATGTGATGGGGTTATATGAGGGGAGGAAGCACTTCATTTTTGGGGAGCCCAGGAAGCTTATCACCAAAGATTTAGTGCGGGAAAGGTACCTGGAGTGCCGCCAGGTGCCCAACAGCGATCCTCTGTTCTATGAGTTTCTGTGGGGCCCAAGAGCCCACACTGAAACCAGAAAGATGAAAGTGCTGGAGTTTGTGGCCAAGATCCATGATACGGTCCCCAGTGCCTTCCCATCCTGGTATGAAGGGGCTTTGAGAGATGAGGGAGAGAGAGCCCGAGCCAGGGCTGCAGCCAGGGCTGGCACTGCTGCCCTGGCCAGCGTGCGCTCCAGGGCCATAGCCAGCAGCTCCTCCCACCCCAATAGAGTCTGAGGCAGATTCTTCAGTTTGTTGTTAAAAAGAGAAGTCCACATTCTAAGTAGTAGAAGGTTGGGGTGGGGCTGCAGACAACATAGTGTATAACATATATTTGTGTTTCTGTTCTATGTAGTAACTTGGATAATTTTTTAAAATATTGTTCCTTTTAATAGAAGGTTTAAGTAGCTTCATAATCCAAATCTATGAGTGATGTTGCTCAAACACTGATGGCTGTGAATGAGATTTAAGAGTAAGAGTTTTATTATTTTGTAAAACTAATTGGAAAAGTTCTACCTTATTTAGTAATTTGGAATAAGATAACATGGCAATAGACAAGGCATTTCCTTGGAAATGTGAAAAACTCAACAATGTAATAGTTGGGGTCAAGAAATAAATAAAAGATGATAAATTCTTGGCTTCATTTATCACTTTTGGTCTGTTATTTCATAACATGATATATATATAAAAATAAAATAATATTGTAATAAATATTATTGTAATAATAATATTTATTATTATTAATATTGGAGAAATAATATTGTAATAAATTAGACCTCTTTTTCAGTGGCCCACTTTTTTCTCCCTTAACAATAATTAAGCATCTAATCTTTGCAAAGCTCCCTGTTAGTATGGGGAATACTAAGATGAACAAGAACCATTCCTGCCCATAGAATTTTAAAGTAGAATTTTAAAGTCTTGGAGCAGCTATGACGTTAGGAATATTGTAAGATATTCCCTACCACTAAAAGGACAAGTCAAAAGATGGTGTGAGGACTTGGGGGTTTTAATTGTAGTGAAATGTAAATATCCCATGGTAAAGGGGTTTGAGACCTTGGGAAACTGCAAGCCCTTCAGTGGGAGGTAATTTTAATTAAGCTGGGTGGTGGGTCAGATGAGTTTGTTTGAGCGGTAGGCAGAGACTAAAATCTCAGATGATGTGTCTCAGATTGAGAGACTAAAGCCTGGAATGGAAAGCTGCTTTTAGCAGTTGCTTCAAGACCATGTATAAAGCAAAGCGATCTTCACCTGGGGCGGAAGTGGAAGAGGGCCTGTGCTCTTTTTCCAGTGTGGGGGAACACAGTCCAAAAAATAGGTGATTTGTGCACATTATAACAATGGAGTGTCTGAGAAGTAAGGGTGATACTTATATGAGGCGGGATGCTCAGAAGCCACTGTGCTGGCAATCTTTGCCTTGGGCTGGGAGAGACATAGTCCATCCAATAGATGGGCATTTTAATTAGGTTATCTGGGATGTAATTTGGTAAACTCTAAGCTAGAACTAGATTTGTGATGGAGGTAAAGTAATTGCAAACACAAGTGTTTTGGATGGAAGGGAAGATATAAGGGAGGGATGGAAATAGACTTTGACACAAATTTCAGGAATTTTGAGTTGCATCAAACTGGGTAGGATCCCCCACACCAGTAATAAATAATATATCCTAAGAAAATTTATACAGCAAGTAACTTAGTTTAACATGCTAAGCAACATATTGGCTGATTTCTTATGCCATATCCTAGAGAGCTACAAATTCTATGATATTTCCTGGATTAAAAAAAAATAAACCAGAGGGGGAGGTTAGTAGGTTTTAGGGTGAAAATAATTATAGTAATAACTAAAGTTTAGTAAAACCCAATAAATGCCAGAGACTGTGCCAGTGTCTTGCATAAGTTACATTCCAACATTCCTATTTACATGATATATGTGAAGCAAGAGCAAGAGGACTACTTATCAAGTCCATTTCACAGATGAAGACTCTGAGGCTCATAGTGTTTTGCAATTTTCCTGAGTTCACCTGGCTTGTAAGTGACAGAGCTGGGACCAGAACCCTGGTCTGAATTCCTCTAGAGCCCACACTGTTCCACCCCTCCCAGCCTGAGGCCAACTTTCTATCTTTTAATTCATTTCTCATTACTCCACAATGTCTCCCGGGAAATAAAAAAAAGAAGGTATCTGCAGCCAATGTACTAAACCCAGGTGTATTAATAAAGTGAAAATGAGAATTAAACACCAAGTGAGGACTATCTATGGCCTGCATTTGCCTAAGGTTCTCCTGCCCCTATCCACAGGGTTCTTTTAGGGCTGATTCTACCCAATGCTGGTACATGGGACCAGATCCAGTCCTTTCCGAATTACATCACTCTTCCCCTGGGTCTTCCCCAGTGTGCCCTCATGCCCACATCTGGATCCTAACCTGCTGTCCAGCTCTCCCCTGCTTCCTTTTATAAGGCTGCACTCTACTCCCAGTGGAACAGAAAACCCAGAATCACCCACCTTTCCCCTGATTTAGAGCATTCCAACTCCCTGCAGACATCCCGTCTGTCCCATCCCTGACTGTGGAATCTCTCTTCTAGCAGCAGCCCCAACCACTGTTGTTTACTTTGGAGGTGAAGTTTAGAAGTCTGCTCATCTGCTCTGGGTGCTTCCACCGCACTTTCAAAATTTTTTCCAAATTGGCTTGTGAGTAGATTAGGCACAGGATCTACAGGTTCTTGCAAGATAAATCTGAAGTTAGAAGGTTTTAGAAAGCAGACAATGTTAGAAAGAAAAGAGAATTTAATCTGCTGACTTATTTGAGACTGGCCACTGAATCTGTACACTGATGAGTGAGCTTAACTAAGTGGTAAAGAACCAAAACCTCCCTTCTAAATGGTAGATGAGGAAGGACCAAGGAAATCACTGGGTCACAACCATCTGCCTAGACTGGATTCTAACAGACCCTGTAGCCCTTCCAGAAGTTTATGCCAGTATTCCACATATTGCCACAAATTTAGCAGTTTACAACAACACAAATTTATTCTCTCACATGTCTGTGGGTAAGAAATCCAAGTTGCTTCTGCTGGTTTCTCTGTTCTGGGTTTCACAAGGCCCAAGTCAAGCTTTCAGCTGCCAGACCTCTCCTCATGAGTTCTGGGAACAATTTCCTTCCAAAAGCATTCAGGTTGTGGCAGAACCCAGTTCTTTGTGATAATAAGACCAAGGCCCTGTTTTCTTGCTGACTGTCAGCTGGAGCTGCCATAGTTTCTCTAGACCTCTCCCCCGTCCTCACATGTGGGCCCATATATTTTGAGTCAGCAATTAAACTTTGAATCTTTCTCACGCTTGGCATTTCTTGAACTTCCCTGTCTGCCACATCTCTCTTCTGCAGCAAGCCAGAGAAGGTTCTCTGCTTGTAAGGGGTCAGTCATTAGATTACCTGGGGTCCAGCCAGGTATTCCAGTATAATATCTTTATCTTAAAGTCGCTTGCATAACCTTACCACATCTGCAAAGTGCCTTTGGCCATGTAACATAACATATTCACAGGTTTCAGGGATAAGGTATGGGCATCTTCATGGAGCAATTATTCAGTCTTCCAACAATATAGAACATAATCTCCCTGGTGGACATGCCATCTTTGATAAGAAAAAGAAATTGACCATCATTTTCCTGACTCTTGCCTGTATCTGCCCAAGAGGAAAACCCTGGTTTTCCAGTGTGCCTAAAGACACCTGTACAAGTGTTCAGGCATGTTCATCATGTGATGGGCAGCAGAGGCTCACAAGCTGTGATTTTTGACCATGCAGAAAAAAGAAGAAGAAAAGTTTCAGTGTATTGAGACTACTGTAAAGGTAAGTGCAGAAAGGTACTATTTAGTGACAAAAGGTGACCGACACTTCCCTGCTGAGATTTACAGTGTCCTTTAGAAAACTGGTGTGAGCCTGTATCTGAAAACACCTGTCACATAGCAGACACTAGAAAAAGTTGGAGTGTTGCAAGGCAATTTTTGCCTTCTTAGAAACTTCTCCAAGAATGAAGAGGGCTTTTGTATACAAATTGTAAGCGTTGTACTTTACTGATGATCTCCTACTCCATTAACTGTTTGTGGAGAGATTGCAAGACTGTATCGTCCAGTCCACTTGTATTAGAAAGGGTTTTGTGACTACCCTTGCCACTGAAATATGAACAGAAACAATGTTTGTCCTTTTCAGACCAAGGCATTTGACAGTGTGCTACCTCGATGCTTTCTGTTCAATTAAGCAGCAAATATGCAAACCTGTGCTGAGATTTGGATCCATACGGTGGAAGCAGCCTGGATCCCTGGGTCACGTGACAGCAGAGACACTGGCTAACCCAAGGCAAGCTTTATGTGTAGGAGAGACAAACTTTTGAAGTGTTGTCATTCAGGTTTCCGGCTTCGTCCTACATTTCTGCTAACAGATACTTTATCTGAATAACACACAGCTACAATTATTTCTGTTGTCCGTCTTACTTAAATATACTAATTACAATAGAAATACTGCATATATTCTTGATGCTAGAAAAATATGGATGAATCCAAATCCCATTCCTTATTTCATCCTCCAAAATTCAGACTTACTCACAGGTAACCATAATTTTTCAATGTTTATATATTATATTAAAATATATTCTGGGCTTTTTTCTTACATAGATATAGTACGAAAATTCAATGTGAGTTTTTTAACACACATAGATAATGATGTAAATATTGTTTTGCCTCTCATCCCTGTCACTTAATGAAATGAGCGCAGGATTTTCTGTGAAAGCACATATGGATCCATCTCAGTCTTTTAACTACCCCCAATAATTCTAAAGTGTGTATGTGCCATAATTAAATTAACCATTCTCCTTCTGATGGGCACATAAGTTGTTTTCCATTTGTTGCTATAACTAATAGAACTGATACCAACATCGTTAAATATAAATTATTGGGCAAATGTGTATTTTTTCTTATGGAAAGACATAGAAATGAACATTGGGTTGAAGTGGAAATAGTGTATTGATTGTAAATTTTTATGACTATCACTGCTATTCTGTTTCAATAATACTGTACCAATTTCTACTCTCACATATTAATGTATATAAATATCATAAACTCACAAGCATTTTATTTGATCAACTTTAAATGTTGATCAATCTTTTATGTGAATATATATCCTCAATGTTATTTTATTTTGTATTTCGATTTTCTAATTATTTTACTCAAAAAATAATTCCTCATTAATTAATTC